GTTAATTTTTCTACATTTTAGTTATAATTTCAGTTTGGTCCTGGGAGGTGGTGAGTGTAATATCCACCTAGTCTGCCACCACCTTGGATCTCCTACTCATAACTTTTCTTGATGATTCGAACTTGTCCTAACAAACATGCGTCACCATACTAAGTGGCAATGTCATTCTCTGTTTCTTTTCTCAAGGTCAAGCTGTCATTCTTCAGTCACTATTTTACCTGTCTCTAAAAATTGTCTGCTCCACCTATGCTATTTTGCTTCCAATTATTTTTAGAGAGAGTGGGAGGGAGGAGGAGAAACAGAGAGAAACATCGATGTTAGAGAGACACATCGATTGGTTGCTTCCTGCACAACTGAGGTGTGTGCCCTTGACCGGAATCAAACTCCGGACCCTTAAGTCCCCAGGCCGATTTTCTATCCACTAAGCCAAACTAGCTAGGGCCAGAATCTTTTTAGTAACTTCCAGGAAAAGATAATAAGTAAGGAAGTATTAACACTGAACTGATGTGAAGAGGACTTTGTGTATCTAGTTCATCCACCTAAAATTTGCATGTCTTACTGTGAGCTTAGGTAATAAGCATCACAATCTTTCTGTTTTCCTACAAGGTAACAGAAAGGGAGTTAAAATCTGGAGGAGCCAACACCCAGGTGACGGAAAAGAACAAGAAGGAGTACATCGAGAGGATGGTGAAGTGGCGGGTGGAACGTGGTGTGGTGCAGCAGACAGAGGCCCTGGTGCGGGGCTTTTATGAGGTAAGGCCCAGGCCTGACTGAAGAAGGCAGGGCTTTGGCCAAAGCCTTCACCACTGGACACAGCTGGTGAGGCAAAGGGAGAATACAAGGCAGGCAAAGGGCTCAGTTGTACTCACCAGAGTGCAAGGTGGATCAATGAGAGGTCAGAGTTCCCTGGGACACCCAACTCTTCTGGTAGATTAAAAAATGCTCTCACAAAATTGGTGTTGGTGTGGCCCTGGTGTGCCAGGTGTGAAAACATGCAACATCTCCTGTGCATGTTGCACTTCCTTTCATTCAATGAAATTAAGATAAAAGAAGTGAAGTCGTTGGCAGGCACTGTCCACTCTGGCTAGATTTTTTCTTTGTTACAGTGCCACTTTGTGTCATATAATGAATGCCACGGTTGTAAATCAAGGGGACAATGACAGCTGCTAGCCTTTCTGTGCACCAAAAATTGGCATCCTCAAACTTTTCCAGTTTAAAAACAAGAGGCTGTCAATGTTTTTCAGGGCTTGGGTCTTCTTTCCCTGCCATAGTGAAGTACAGTATGGGTCACTGGCTCACCCACCACTGGTTTGGTTAAAGCTGGTACCCACTATAGATGTTCAGTTGTGCCTGGTACATATGACCAGGAGACAGAAAGCCAGAGTTCAGAACCCTAACAAAGCAGGTGCTCCCAGATCTTTGAATAAGGGAGAACGGAAGTGAGGGGGAAAAGGAAAGAAAAGTATAATGCTTTTAGTGCTCGTTCCTAGGAAATAAGTTTGATGTGGAAGAGAAGATACTTTTTAAGTGAAGGGGTAATACTAATAGCTATTGAGTCACTTCAAAGTGATTTAGACCTTTATGTCATTAAAATGCAAATTTACTTGAAAATTTAAATGTGACTAGGAAAGTCAAGTCAGGTTTGTTCATAACATCATTGGGGTGGGGCAGTATCAGAGGTAATGAAAAGCATGGGGCCTTTTTAAAAAATATATATTTTTATTGATTTCAGAGAGGAAGGGAGAGGGAGAGAGAGAAAGAAACATCAATGAGGAGACAGAATCATTGATGGGCTGCCTCCTGCATGCCCCACACTGGGGATCGAACCTGCAGCCTGGGCATATGCCCAAGCTGGGAATCAAACCATGATCTCTTGGTTCATAGGTCAACGCTCAACCACTGAGCCACGCCAGCCAGGCGGGCCAACATGGGGCCTGTTTTGATTCCCAGCTTATGAACGGTTTGTATTTCAAAATGTGTAAGTCACAATAATAGCACATTGGGGAAAAAAGTTGTAAATGATGATCGGTTTCCCAGCTTAAACCACAGAAATAATAATAATGAATAGAACTTTCAATGTGGCTGGACCTGAAGCCTAATCTGTATTTCAGGTCATAGACTCTAGGCTTGTCTCCGTGTTCGATGCCAGGGAACTGGAGCTGGTGATAGCGGGCACAGCAGAAATCGACCTAAATGACTGGCGGAATAACACCGAGTACCGGGGAGGTGAGCTGGCAGGGCTCGCGGTGAGACAGCTACCACAGATACAAGTCATCAGTTTTTTAAAAATTTTTGAGGTGAAATTGACATAATAAATTCACCATTTTAAAGTAAGCAATGCAATGGCATTTACAATGTTCACAATGTTGCTCAACCATCACTTTTAGCTAGTTCCAAAACATTTCCGTTATCCCAAAAGGAAACCTGTACTCGTTAAGCAGTTGCTCCCCATTTTTCACCGACCCTGGCAACCATCAATGTGCATTCTGTATCTATGATTTACCTATTCTGAATATTGTACATAAATAGAGTCATTTTTGTAAATAGGTCTTTTTGTGGATATATATATATATATATATATATATATATATATATATATATATCCCATATATATTTATAATATAATTATAAAGGAATACATATATCTATGTATGTCATCACTTTTTGAAGACTACAAAAACTTGCTCGTACTTTAATACATGTGCACTCATTCAGGTTCTTCTGTATGCCTTCCTCCATCTTCCAACCTGAACCTCCCTCAGCTGACAATAATCCCCGTGGTCGTCTCTGGCCTAACTCAGAGCAGATTCATCAGGGGATACCATCATCCATGAGCCAGCTCCTGAGCTGGGTTGCATGCTGGCAGGGAATTGTGTCCCACTTCCTATAGAATTGGCACCATCTTTACCTCAGTCCTTGTTTGCTACACCAGATCTGTGGTCTCTCCAAACCAATTTCTAAGTCTCTCATAACTACTCACCTTCACACTACAAACTAGACGTCCGTGCGACATATTTTCATCATGCTACTTCCCTAT